AATCTAGTTTGTGCATTGTAGGTTTTTCTACCATATATATATATATATATATATATATATATATATATATATATATATATATATATATATATATATATATTCTATGTGTGTATGTGTGTGTTTCCGTCTCTCTCCTCTCTCTCTTCTCTCTCTCTCTCAGTCTCTTCTCTCTCCTCTCTCTCCTCTCTCTCTCTCTCTCTCTCTCTCTCTCTCTCTCTCTCTCTCTTCTCTCTCTTTTTATATATATCATACTAAGGATGATTACGAGAGAAGATAATGGTCAAGGTACCACCGAAAGAGACGGTTACAAAACAACACAAACTGATGGTGTGTAAACAGAAAGTTCAAAACCATGGAAAGCATCCAACAAAAAAGAAGAAAAAAAAAAAAATAACACAACTGTGGAAGCTGAACGAGACGGAAATCAGAAAAAAAGGTTGTGGAAGAGTGAAAGAGGAATTAAAAACAATAACAACACGAAGAAAGGCCTGGGAAGTTGTTGAGGTTCGACAGCGAGGGCAAGGCAAGGAGGTAGGCCTACCAATAAGCGAAAAATCTGAGAAGGATAGGGAGAAGTGAGAAACGTGGTGGAGGAATGATGAAGTTCAAGAAGCGATAACTAGGGAGATGAAGAAATGTCGCGATTTGAGTAAGTGCGATGGAACAATTGATAAAAAAGAAGAAAGCAAATTAGCAAAAGAGAGCGATAGCGAAAACAAACCATGCAACATTCGAAGATTTGCACTCCAGCCTGGAAGAAATGGAGGATCCAAGGAAAGCAATAAGGATAGCGAAGAAGCGAAACGCAGGGAACACTGAGTGAAAGATAGCGAGGGTCAAATATGGACAGAGGACGAGGAGATAAAGGAAAAATGGAGATCTTCGAACAGCTCATGAATATAGAAATGACAGATTAGAGAGAGAAAGTGTAAACAAGAATAGATCCACATGTGCATAAGATCACGGAAGTGGGAGTGGTAAAAACATTGCGAAAAATGAAGCACGGAGAAGCAGTACACCCAGACAACATGCCGGTAGATGCATGGAAGGTCTTATAGGCAGCATTGGGATCGACTGTTTGATAAGAGGTTTTCACTAAAGGTATGGAGAAGGAAGAGATGAACCGTATTTCATGTTGACAAATGTGGAAAGGCATGAATGAGACGAATATCTTCATAATACAAGAGATGTATTTAATTAAATTTAATACATCTCTTATATTGTGAAGATATTCGTTCTCATTCATACCTTTCCACAAGGAAGAGATGCCAGAAAAATGGAGAAGACCACGATCGCTATTTTTCATTATTATTATTATTATTATTATTATTAATTTTCATTAATCATTATTATTATTACTATTATCATTGTTATTATTATTATTTATTATTATTATTACCATTGTTATTATTACTATTATTATTATCATTATTATTATTACTACTATTACTATTATTATCGTCATCATTATTAGCACCATCGCCATTATTGTTGTTTGTTATTACTATTAGTATTATTGTTGTTATTCTTTCTAGTTTTTTTTTTTCTTTCTTGCTTATTGTTCTTGTTTCGTCATAATATAAATTCCTGTAATATTTTTTCTTGCTAATTTTCAAAAACTCTCAGTATTATTTATTTTCAGCATAATAAATTTTAAGTCACTTTTGCTTTTTGTGAATCCTCTTCGTTTTAGACAGTCAGAATAGTCGCAAATTATCGCTTGTTTATAGTTTTTCTTCTAGCTTGTTACCTTCACTTCCCTTTTATCTTTTTAATTCTTTCATGTTCGTTCGTTTGTTGGTGATAGTCTCGATTTTCACACATATCATAATTTTTTTTGTGATCATTTATTCAAACCCTCGATATTTTTCCTCTTTCTATCCCCATTCCTGGTCGTGAGAGAGAGAGAGAGAGAGAGCAGAAGAGAGAGAGAGAGAGAGAGAGAGAGAGAGAGAGAGAAGAGAGAGAGAGAGAGAGAGAGAGAGAGAGAGAGAAAGAGAGAAAGAGAGAGAGAGAGAGAGAGAGAGAGAGAGAGAGAGAGAGAGAGAGAGAGAGAGAAGAGAGAGAGAGAGAGAGGAGGAGGGAGGGGGAAGGAAGGAAGGAGGGAGAAAGAGAGAAAGGGTATCATTGCTCATTTTCCCGCAGTTCTTTTCCCCTCAACGTGGAATGTTTGGGAGAAAGCGACAGAGAGGGGGAGGCAGAGAGAGTGAGAGATAGATAGAAAGAGAGAGAGAGGGGAGGGAGGGAGGAGGGCAACAAGAGAGCAGAGAGAGAGAGAGGAAGGGAGGAAACAGAGAGAGCGAGAAATAGAGAGAGAGAGAGAGAGACTGAGTGTGTGGTGGAGAGAGAGAGAGGGCAAGCAGAGAGAGCAAGAGAGAGAGAGAGGAAGGAGAGCAGAGAGAGCGAGAATGATAGAGAGAGAGAGAGGGAGAGAGGAGAGCGAGAGAGAGAGCAACAGAGCGAGAGATAGATAGATGGATAGATAGAAAGAGAGAGAGAGAGACCTGAGTATGTGCGTCTGCCTATGACCTTGCCTTGGCCTTAGCCTTGTCGGGAGTCGTATAAGCCTCAATCCCGCCTTGAGAAGCAGCTCTATATAAGCCTTTTTCCGACCATTATGAACCCCCTGTGAACTTTTACAGGAATATGTTAAGGTTACTTTCTACAGTATGTATGCGGGTTGTTTACCTCTATACGTGTATATCTGTGTGTGTGTGTGTGTGTGTGTGTGCGTGTATGTGATTACGCACGTGTGTATTATTTTGACTTAGAGGTGATTTCATGGAAAGATAGGCATAAAAAGCAGATATTTTCTGAGAGAAGAAACAACTGACTGGGTATGCGAGACGAATGGAAGGGGAAAAAATTATAAGAAAATATTTGATAGGGGAAGAAAGAATTGGAAAAAATATGTAAAAATTAATTCTTTACGAAAAAGAAAAAAAGACAATCAAAAAGATGACAGAGAATGAAAAAAAATACAATGACAAAACGACAATAATGACAAAAACAAATTAAACAACCAAAATGCAGGAAAAACAAGAAACAAACAAGAAAAACAACACTATAGCTAACAATAAAAGCGGGAGTAAAGAAAGAGTAAAACACACACACACACAGATGCATACACAGGAGAGGGAGAGGCAAAGGAAAATAAAATAGATAGATAGATAGAGAAAGAGAGAGAGAAACACACACACACACGCACATAGAAACACACACACACAGAAAGGGGGAGAGGGAAGGAAAATAAAATAGATAGATATATAGACATAGATAAATATAGAGAGGGAATGAGAAAACGAGAGATGGCTAGATAGTACAGGTTTCATGCTCAACGTTGTACCGAAGGTCCTTACGCTGTATTGCTTTTTCACAATGGCGGTTTAAACAATCCTTGGTTTAGGTATTTTAGGTATTATCACCTAACAAAATGCTAATTAAGTTTGTTATATATATCTCCAGAGGCTTGTGGTCCGCTAATCTCTGTGTCCTTACAGAGATGTTTGTATATATTTATTTTGAAAAAAAATGTATATTAGGAACAGAAACAGTAAAACACACACACACACACACACTGCGATCGAGAAAAAAAACTGAAAACACGCAATTAGCGCGAAACGGGTAAACATTTTGACTTTTTCGTTTAGCTTTGTTTCCTCTTCCCATTTCATCCTTCGCTTCACTTTGTCCCGCATACTACGTGAGAGAAAGGAAAGAGAGAGAGAGAGAGAGAATCCATTGCCCATTTCCGTCGCATGGATTGGTGGTTCACTCCTTCGGTTC